TGCTAATGCGTCGGGCGAGCGGTACGGTCTTTTTCGGCTTTAAAAAGAATAAAGATATATTTAAGATCAAATATGGGTCAAGACAACCTAGACGCATTATCACTATTATATATAAAAAAATGTTGAATTGGAGCAATTGAATTGTGATAGCATTATACAGCAGTTTGCTAGAAAAAAAAAATGTTATAATTATTTTTTCTTCTACATTTTTTTGAATATTTTTCGTTCATTTATTTGTTTTTATTGTTTATTTATGTTTTGTGTTTTTCTGTTTTTTTTTTGTATAGTTTGAAATGTAATTTTTTGGTATTCTTTTTCATTTTATTTAAAAATGTATGTTTGGTTTTTACAATAAAAGCATGTGTTTACTCTTTAAAAAACTGACAACGAATAGCAATGAAAGGGGCCCCTCCTAAATATCCAGCGCCCAGGGCCCGAAGTTAGGTTAAACCGGCACTGGTACATACCTGTGACTTCCTCATACTAATATTAAGGGTTTGTTTTGGTTCCTCGCAGGCAAACGAAGCACTTTGTTATATAGGTAATTTTGACTCAATTGACTTATTTTAATCTCACCAACATACAGTCGCTTTATGTAGGCAGATTTTTGGGACACCCTGTATAATATATAAATATTATATTCTTATGTGGTACTGATTTTGAGAATTTTTATTTTCGTTTATCTTTTGAATTGTCCATTTTACTATCAATACTTTTTCTTTTCTTGTCTTATAGTGCTTCTTACCTGATTTCTTTTCGCTTAAAGTGTGACCATTCTTCTTCTAAATGTGTGTATACGAGTATAACCTTTTTATATGCTATATTATTATTACTTTTTAACTATCTATAAATTTCTTATTAATCCGGGGATGCTTCATTAATTCTAACTTTAAAAGTAGTTACTGTACTAATCCAAAATGGTTGACAAGTTTGCCAATTAATAACGTAATCAATGTGAATCGCTACGACTACAAAATGCCTTTGCATCGTTGTATTGCAAACTACGCTGAAGCAGAGGCTTATCAAATGGCGTTGGCATTGATTTTTCATTATAATGGAGTTTATTTATTGCAAACATTATTATTTCATATCAAAATGAAATAATAGTGATTTTGTGCAATAAATCTATATATTTATGTAGGTAGGTACGATATTTTGTTTAATTTATTGAATGAATACCTACATATTTTAAGACATATATATTACAATTAAATTTAACAAAAAACAAATTAAAATGAATTTCAAATTGATTGAAGTTACTGATAAATATTGTTTTATAGTATTTTTTCCAATTTTGCTACGCCACTGGACCCTCACAAACCGCTGGAGGGTAAGTTTCGGTTTAATTAAAAATCCCTGGGGCCCTTTTTACAATGATTATATTGGAACTATACGTAACAATGCCAAGTGTGTTCCTTTGGAATTTCCACTTGAGTGTGAATAATCGTCCTATAAATTTCCTTTTTTAGAAAATTCGTGATTAATGTAGCTATGGATAACGTCATACCTTTGTATCCCTTTTAATATATACGTGTATTACAATAACATCCTATATGTACATTTAACGGACACCCGGTATAATCGTATAAATAAAAATTAACCTGACAAAATTGATGCACTTTGATATTGAACGAATTAAATTTAACCAATAAATAACAAGGAGGATTATATGTTGTTAATGGGATTCAACTTTTTTTAATCTCATGGCAATAAAAGTAACACTTTAATACGTAAAATCAAAGTTAAAAAAATTAACTTCTCGTATCATTATCATTATCTTCTCTGAGGTTTATTATTATAATAAGGTCTATTAAGTTTTCCACTGTTATATCCACTTTCCAAAATTAATTTTCCACCTTTTTATAATGATCAATGCATTTTCTCCAATGTTCTCCATTTAAATATCTGTTTATGTTTATGCTGCTTCCTTGCGTCCTCTATTTTCCTTAAATAATCATGTCTCTACATAAAAATTTAATTCATGTAATATTTTTTGCAGTTGAAAATATAATATTGTAACGATTGTTTATTTTAAAAATAGTTTATTAAAAATAGTTTATGTATTAAAAATAGTTTATTTATTAAAAATAGTTTATTTATTAAAAATAGTTTATTTATAATTTATTTATAATGTACTAATTAATTTATTTAATACTTAGGCATTATTATAACTCGCAATTCTAATATATTTATTACAATTTATCTATTCATTGAAACACTTAAATTGAAACTTAACTTCTATCGACAAACTCACGCTATTTATATAAAGCCAGCTCTACACTAGTATATTCTTAATGAACTAGGATTTCCGGAATTTATTCCTCTATGACTCAGACGACGCACATACAGGTATTTGCACTATCTACGCGGCCAAAAGTCCCAATAACAAAATAACAATAACATTCATAATAACGAGTTCCACGAACAGAGGACGAATTCGGGAACAATACTCATGCCCATCTACCTGTTATCTCGCACCCCCCAACCCTAGCGTCATTCAGAATTTGACAGTTTTACCTAGTGTACGTATCTGTTCTCGGTGCTTTTCTAAACGTTAAACTTCTGAAGTGAATTTTTATGTTCTTAAGTTCTACTTACGAATTGAAAGTGATGGATTCTGATGGACAAGGTAACAAACTTCCAAACTACATTAATAAAGTCATGATTATCCATTATACAATATAATTTTTCTACACCCGTATTATAATAATGCACTTATATGCCCATAATCCGTTTCATAATGATACCCATTATGATACAGATTTTTCATTACGATACAGATTTTTAATCAATAGAAACCTACAATTTTTCAATCAAGCATGCTGTTTGACGTTTGTCCTAGGTTCCTATGTAATTATTTTAGTTGTCAAAACGTATTAAATTTTCGTAGGTAGCTAAACTTCGATAATTATAATATTAAAATGTCTGATATTAGCGATATAGAAGACTCCTCCACACATATCGGAGAAAGCAGAAAATACAGTACAAAATATTTTACCGCAAAAATCTAGGGAAATACCAATACCTGAAGTAATACCATTAATTACAATTTTGTAGAATTTTTTATAGAAATACGAGTAATTACTGTTATTGTGTTCAATACCAATATAAATATAATATTTATAGGTCTTGATTATTTATCGGGTGTAGAAAAAATAGCGTATGCAACTCTCATGTAATGGTTATTAAAACACTCGCATAAACCATACGAAACTCGCCTTTGGCTCGTTTCGTATCCCGGTTAATGCTCGTGTATTAATAACCATCATTACATGATCGTTGCATTATATACTATTTTTTTATAACAAAAAAAAAACTCATTTTCATACAGTGATTTTCTTAAATATTTTTTTATTCTAGTGTTTTTGTTTATGTATCGGGGTATATCGAGCTGTATTTATCATTATAGGTTATTATATGATCCTTTTCCTTACAAATGCTAACAAAAACATCTCCGGAAACGTCCGGATAAATACAGCTTTGAGGCATTAATTAAAGATATTTACCAAAATTTCGTATAAAATTGGAAATGTTTATTAGCAGCTTTTAACATAATATATATTTGTTTTAGGTTTGGAGGGTGCATCTCCTGTAAGGGTTGTGACCGCATGAAGACAGAAAATTTGCGTAATTTTAATGCCAAATTAAACTATCTAAAAGATCAACTTTTGTCATGTGAAGGTTATAATGAAGATCAAATTATTAATTTGAAACGTGGTTTTGTCCATTTCAAATCAGAAATTAAACAGAGGTGGACCAAAGCTCATTATAAAGAAGATAATTTTATAAAATACAACCGATCTTGGCTGGAAGGTACTTTTAAAATACCTGTCGTTGGGGCTTCACAAAAACGGCCAGGCCGACCATCAAAATCGTTTGAAAACACAAGTGAGAGAAGCAAAAGACGAAAGACTGAAGAACTGCGTTCTAATTTTGAAAAGGAAATCATAATGCACGCTGCGAAAGTGGAGCTGCGAAAATCTGGTAAAAAAGATGGATCAAATGTCTTAAAAGATATCACCAATTCTCCGACACGAGCAACTAAATATAAAAAGGCTTATCTTACGAAATCAAGTAAATAGCACTCCTTGACACCAATGCAAGCTTTGCAAATGTTTATAGATGCCGATTTGACGCAAGGACAGTACGAAATCATAAGAAAAACCAATAAGAAGTTTTTCCGTGCTATTGTGCATTACAAAAACCAAAAAGAAATGTTACCCACCTTAAGAATCGTTAATGGTAACGAGTACCAGTGCCGAAGCTCAGTTACTGCCTCTAATGAATGTTACCGTTAGGCGTTTATCGGAGTGCCTAGAAGAGGTATTAATAACTTTAAAGGAGAAAGAGCGTGACTGCCTAACTATAATTAGTAAATGGGGCTGCGATGGGTTTCAACAATCACAGTTCAAACAAAAACTAGAAAGTGATATTGAATCGGATTCAAGCATATTCCAAAACTGTTTTGGGCTTCTTCAATTAGTTTCTGGAGATAAAAATGAAAAAGTTTTATGGAATAATCTAACGCCCTCTCAGCCACGATTTTGTCGACCAATAAGATTCCGTTTTATCAAGGAAACTAATAATGTAACTGAAGAACAAAATAACACACGACAAAAGCGCTATTACCTCTTTAGTTCCAACAGAGGTCGACCTAGGAGGGAGAAAGTTGTTAATCATGAACAAATTTATTATGACCATGGTAGATGGAAAGGTCTGCAATATTAGCTACTGGCACAAAGTCTACGAGTAGGTGCTACAATGTGGGGCAACCTCGAAAGGTTTTAATAAATTGGATTACAAAGAAGAAGTGAATTTTACAGCGGCATATCTGTGTTACACGCTAGAATTCGATTATTTGAATGCATCCTACACTTAGCATATAAACTTAAAGGGAAAAAATATAGGGGAAAAAATCGAAAGAGGAGAAAGACCTAGAAGATCAAACGAAAAGAGAGATACAAACAAGATTCCGCACTGAAACAGGTTTACTAATAGATATGCCTAAATCCAATTTCGGGAATACAAACGATGGAAATACTAGCAGAAGGTTCTTTGAGAATCTCACATTAGCTGCAGAAATAACTGGCATTAGCTATGAACTGATATACAGACTAAAAGCCATATTGGAAGCAATTTCAAGCAGATTTGAAATTAATCCGGTAAATTATGAAAGATATGCTTCAGAAACTGCTCGACTCTATGTTAAGTTGTATGATTGGCATCCTATGACGCCAACAATGTACAAGATTTTAGTGTATGGTGCAGTCATTATTGAAAAGGCATTGTTACCAATCGGACAGCTTTCCGAGGAAGCAGCTGAGGCTCGCAATAAACATTTCAGAAGTTACCGACAAGATTTTGCGAGGAAATTTTCCAGAGAAAGTTGTAATCAGGACATTTTTAATCGCCTTCTGCTTAGTTTAGATCCTGTGCTAAGTAGTATGCGAAATGTAAAAAAAAAGGAAAGCAAAAACATTTTTGCCTGAAACCTTGGCAATGTTTGTATCTGCAGAATCCCATAATGAAACAGGAAGTTCATCAGAAAGCGACGAAGAAAGTCAAGAAACTTAACAAATTTTTTTTGCCGACCTAAAATTTTGTATTTTTTTTGTAAATGTATAAATATTTTTAGAAAATATATAGATTTATTGTAAAAATAACTCATTTTATTTATTTACGTTGTTTAGATACCAAATAAGCAAAAAAATAATTTTGGCCGCGTAGATCGTGCAAATACCTGTATGTGCGACGCACACCGATTTCTCTGGTAGCTTCTCGAAGCACTGCGTTTGGCTCGATATGGCCAGCGCTAGTTCATATCACAAGTAAGGTAGTAAACAAAGAACAGATGGCTTCGCGTGACAATATATTTGGAATAGTGGACTATTTTCTATTTCTGACTGTAATTGTTTAAGTGTAGGAATTGTCCGCTTAGATACTCCAGTATAGAACTTATATTTAGTGGCCATTTCATCCACAGAAAGTGAAACAAAGTCTTTTCGAAGATTATTAAATACATTAAGTACCATATTTTTTTCTTCTAAAGATAATGCGTTATGTCCACTAGGTCGTCTACGCGTACTTGTGCTTGCAATATTTTTCATTGCACTCGCCATTCTTATAAGTATAACTGCACGATTTTAATATATACTACTCAATATGAAATTCCGAATATATTAAAATAACTAATAACTAAATAAAATTTGACTTATCTGTCAAAAGGAAAGGTTTATTTCCGTAAAAACCATGGAAATATGATTAAATCTAAACGGAAACTTTTATTAAGCCGATCAATTTAACTACAAATAAGATATAAATAAAATGTCTACATCTTAAACATGTGCTACGTTCTGCAAATTAAATTACTACACGCCTTTCTTCACAAGACTATAAAATATCAAGTAAGTCAGTAATATTAAAAAGGCAATAAAAATTTAAAAAAAAACGGATTTTTGAGGATTTTTGCTCCTAAATATGAAACTTATCGATTGCCGTTGAAAAACAAGTAAAATTGTTTATCTACTCCTATTAATTTATATATTAATTATTCAACTACTTTTGAGCAATTAATAGTATCAATAAACAAATAGCGTGAGTTTTAATAGTGAGTTATTATAACTCACGCTGGGCTCCTACGATAATTCGGTATATAAATAGTGTGCGGAGTAAATTCTTGGAAATGTTCCATTGGCGTAAAATGTTAGAAAGATGTTTTAACTGGAAAGGAATTAATATTAATTATAAGATTTTAAAATTATTAAATTGTCAACGCCTCTTAGTAGACGGAACAGTCAATTATTACATTGAGGGGAGTAATGTCATTTGATATTTTAACAAGATAATTTTGACGTTCTCAAATCAATTTCTAATAATAGTGCTAAAAAAAGATGAATTTAGATAGTGAAGATGAGTTATTATGTACACCTCTAGAAATAAGAGAGATAGCTAATAATGTAATACAGAATTTATTACCAGAAAAATCAAAAAACAAGTATAATAATAATAATAATAATAATAAATGTCTTTATTAACCAACAAAATACAAGTAAATTAAAATAGAATATTCACTATAGTACCTATATACATAAAAAATAAGAAAAAGGCAAACGTTGGTTAAAGGGCGCAAAATCAGCTAGGCTGCTCTTCCTTAAGAACCCAAAATATATATACATACACACACATATGTATACATATATAAATAAATTAAAAAAAAAAATAATATTAATAGTAAAATGTAAGAAATCGCGATTTAGAAGAAAAGTCATAATAAATTTATAACACATTTGCATAAATAAATAAATAAATAAATTGGTGAAATAATTAGTTTCAACACTGTTCGCTAAATAATTTTTCAAAAAGTTTTTGTTTGAATTGAGATATTTTCATTAATTTAAAATTGTCTGGTAGAAGATTGTATGCTTTGAAAATATTATATCTAAAAGATTTTTCGAAAAAGGTAGTTCTATGGACTGGAATAGAAATAATTTTTTTTCTTCTGATATTAATATTATGCACATCTGATCTATACTTTATTTTATTGGTTAGGTAAGGGGGAGTTGTGTTTACGATAACTTTGTGGAGCAATGTCAACGAATGTAATAACCTTCTGCGAGTCATATTCAGCCAGCGAGCAGTTACTAATGTATGACTAATTGGATCAAATTTTCTTATACTGAAGATTAATCGTAAACAAGAATTTTGAAGCCTCTGTAGTCTGCCTGAATCTCTTGAAGTTAAGCAGGGACCATATACGTAGTCACAGTGGTTAGTTTGTGAGAGGACAAGCGATTCACAAAGTAGTATTTTGAGTTTCCTACTTAAAATATGTCTATTGGGATATAAAACTTTTAATTTTCCATAAGCCTTCTTTAATATAAATGATGTATGATCGGTAAATCTTAATTTGTTATCGATTATGACACCTAAATTTCTAGCCTGCTCAGTAGTGTTTAAAGGGTCGTTTTCAATTTTGATTATTAACTCATTAGGTAATATATTATTTCCGAATAACATAATAGTTGATTTAGAATTATTAATTACCAAGTCATGTTTTTTAGATGCTTCTAATAATGCCTTTAGCTCAGTGTTTATTAAATTTTGTGCATTGGTAATATATTCTTTATTAAAGAAGTAATACAACTGAGTGTCATCTGCATACATATGTATTTTCATATGCATTAATACATTCGGAATATTACTGGTGTAAACAAAAATTTTCAAGATTGGTGTAACTTGTTTATAGAAAATGTACCTTTGTCATATTTTAATGAGTTTAGCAATAAATATAAAGCATCGTCTCTATGGACTTTCTACTCCTTGCTAAGAAGCACACTCAACATAAATAATGGAATTAATATAGAGAATTATTCAAAATTGCGTGCGTTTCTTAAACGTCAATCAGAAAAATATATAGCTAAAAAGGCAAAAACATTTACGACAGAACAACTTAATAATTTCATGAATAAAGCTCCTGATGAGAAATATCTGGCGACAAAGGTAATAACCTTTACAAAGGTTCAAACGTTTTTATCATCTAGTCAATTATACAATTCTTTCTCGATACTTGCATCTTAGTATTTATTGTTATAATCGTAGATAAAGTATAGTATTCATCTTGCGGTAATGGTCATAACTCACTTGCGGCTCGTGCTGCAAACTTCATCTGCGTGAGTTATGACCTGCATTACCGCTCGTTAAATAATATACTATTGACAGTAAAAGAAGGTTGAGGTGCCCGCCTCTAGGACTAATCCAAAATTCGCAACTTGTTCTAAATATAAAAGAAATGAGAAATACATTATACTCCGAACAAACATTAGCAAAATACCCGATACCCGATACCTGTACTCTTCAATGGCTATATTATTGGTAAAGATAGTCTATAGGATTTAAAAATAATAATATTTTTTCACATACAAAACAAGTTATCTCGATCCGATTGCAGTCCATCAATATATCCACTGATAACGGGAATATATATGGCCCCCGTCAAAGTGAAAATCATTTTTCACGAAAATAAAGCCCTCTTCACATTGCATTATTATTAATAGCGCATTCTGTGCAAAAATCTACTCTCCGGGGACTATTTCCGTTCACCAGAAGAGACAAGGGTAATACCGGGTAATACCACACTAAATAAACCAAGGGAAATGGGATTAGCGTTGAAATATTTCGATGGTTTTAGACGATGATGAAACGGTTTTTTTTCTTCTTCTTTCGGGTATAGGCATTTTCATTTAGTTCGCTTATGTGTACAGGGTTTTCCAAATATACATTGAAAATTAGATACATAAATTATTCTTACACAAAAATATATTTTTCTACGATCACTATCCAAAGTTGGCTTTTGCACATTCAAATCTAACTAGAAAGTTGATGTTTTCCGCGAATTGTCATAATTTGACATTATTCGCACATACGTGCGCTTAAGTAACTTCGACACACGCTTGTCTATTTTCATTTAAATTAAATAAAAGAAAGCTAATCGGTATTTTAAAACAAAATTTAAGCTAATCTCAAATATTTTAATTGACTTCTAATATTTTAAATCATCCAACAGTATTGTCCGTAAATAATTAAATGGTTAAATCATAAATAATTACCGACATATATAAGTACTAAAACATTTATTGATCTTGGAAGAGTAGGCTTATGTCAAATAGAAAAAAATATTGTGTGTAATTCGAACAGTTGAGACAGAACACTTGCTGCGCGACGCGTTAGCGAACCGCGGCAATCTGTCGAAACTGTCAAAGTACTACTTTCTGCTCCTAATACACAAATAGGTATTCCATTAATTAGTCACATTTTTTAGCAATAATAATGACATTAACAAAATATTTAAATATGGCATTCGATGAATATCCCACAATTGGTTCAAATCATATTTAACGAATAGAGGACAAGCAGTTTGTGTCAATAATATTATTTCATATCTATCCAATATATCATCTCATATAGGTCCATATTAGACCCTACCTTGTTAATGTTCTGTCAGGACTGGCAACATTGCATGCGTCAAGCTTCAATGTCAATGTCAAAGACCGAACTCCCGCTCTATGGATAATATGGATAATAAGTGTTAGTGGGTATATATACCCACTAACAAACACGATAACGTTGCAGTTAATATTATATTTAATCCATTGAAGTGTCTGATTGCTTTCATGAAGTTGTAAATTGGGTTTTACTAAATAATTTAAAACTAAACGAAAACAAGACAAGAATCAAAACCTTTTCTTCAGTTCAAATCAAAAATATGACGTGGATTGTTATGTATATTTACATGGAGTTTTATAGATGATGAATTGAACTGACATACACGTCATACATAATAGATAATTTAAATCGTATGCTTGCCAGCGCTTGTAATGCGTAATTTGGAA